TTCAATTTTTGTTATAATTTGATTTTAAAGTTTCATTTAATATGAATAATATAGTATGATTATATTTAAAATAAACGTTTATGTGTAAACAAGACATAATAAGTATACTAGAAAGTTTCTCCCAATTATTAACTTCCCATAGGGTAAGTTATAGTAATGGGCCGAAAATCGGACATGAAAATTTAAGCATATCTTCACGTTTCACAGGTTTCTGAACATTTTGGCATACCTCAGAACAAATGGATGTCCGCATTTTTTCGGCCGCACAGATCATTCGATTTGAACGGTTCAAAAAACATTCGATTCCTATTGATAGGGAGATCTGCTGGTTAGTTTTTGGCAAAGGCAGGTCCAGCCGTTACGGAGATAAAAAGAAGCAAATAAAATGCAGAAAATAGAATACTAGTTTTTGAGAGAACGGAGTATCCGATTTGGACGATCCAAAAAACAATTTGTAATGATAGTGAGAAGTGGTGATTAGTTTTTGGTAAAGGCAGGTCCAGCCATTTCGAAGATACAGAGCTAAATGCATGTATAAAAAATGGCAGTTTTTGAGAGAACGAAGCATCCGGTTTGAATGATTCGTAAAACTTTATGCTTGTTTTGACAAAATAATTGCTTTTAGGAAAAAAAAAATTCAATTTTTTTTTCTCAAAGGAAATTTTTTTTGTACATTCAAAATAATTTAGATTTTAATTTTAATTCTGGCTAAAGTTTTAAAGCTCACTTATATACTTCAAATAAATAATTTTAGCTTTGTAATTCAGTTTATATAACTCTGATAAATATATATGAAAACATTTAATATTTCTCGAACATATTTCGTTACGGTACGGGAAGTTCCAGCAATTTGTCTTAAGGCACGATGCCATACACAACTAGTTTCTATTATTATGGTATATTCTGATATCCTACTATTGATCCATATCATTCCATTGTTTCAATCCATATATTAAAATTATTGACAATTTGCCAACGCATTTGGCAACTTTTTCAGAAATTTTGCGTTTTTTTTATATAAACTAGCAAAACGTGCAGAGTTATAATAAATGTTTTGTATGTTAAACATACTTTATTTTTAAGTTTTTATTAAGATTTCATTTACATTTCAAGATAATCTAAATATGATGGAAATTTAATTTTATATACATAAATGTATCTATTAAAAAGTATTTTTGTCCATTATGGGTTAAAACAAGAATTATTATAACTTTTATCATTATATAATTTTCAGGACATAATAAACTTATGGTGCATGGCATCGGTCTTCAGGCAAATTGCTGAAACTTAATTTTTAAATGATAAAGTACGGTAATCTAAAGTTCATATTATAATATTCCAAAAAGTACGTTTTTTTAAATATCGAAAAACAAGCTTTTTTGTAAACTTTGCCTTTTAAAAAAAAAGAAAAATCTGTTCAACTCGTTTGATCCATAGTGTCGAAAATGTCGTGGTTATTTGTTGGAACTATATAAGTTTTGTAGTTCTGATGTATGTAATAAAAAGAGAAAAGTCTGTAATAAAGTGAAATTCAAACATTATAAATTTTGGCATATAACCCAAAGAATTGGAAACAAAATTTGTATTTATTATTGATATCTCTATAAAATAACTGATAATTTGATGGGCGCAGGATGTCTAATCATCATTTTTGATCGGTAAATGAGGTTTTATTTCCGAAATCGTTGTTGTATGCCAAAATGTTCAAAAACCTTGAAATCTAAAGGTATGCAAAAAACATTTTCGATTTTTAGCGATTTCTATAATTTACCCGACGGGAAGTTAATAATTAGTTTACTAAAAATACTAAAATTTGTACCAACAACTTTTTCTTTCCCAGAAAAATTTTCAGAAATCTCTCAAACGTGAAGATATGCAAAAATTTTCATTTTCGATTTTTGGACGATTACGATATCTTACCCTCCGGGAAGTTAAAAGTTTCCAGAAGCACTTGTTTCGTCAACACAAGCAGAAAGTTTTTTTGAGTCATTCAAATAGGATGCTTAGTTCTCTCAAAAACTGCCGTTTTATGACTTTCATCTTCTTATCTCTGAAACGGCTGGGCCTGTCTTTACTAAAAATTTACACCACGTCTTCTCATCATTACAAATCAAATGCTTTTTGAAACATTCAAATCGGATACTCTGTTTTCTCAAAAACTCAATTTTTATTTTATGCACTTATTGCTCCGTATCATTGAAACGGCCGGACCTGCCTTTGTCAAAAAGTAATCAGCACGTCCCGAAACCGTGCTCCCGAAAACTTGGGCTAAAAATTGTATCCATACATACACACACACATCCATTTTTTCTAAGGTATGCTAAAATGTTCAGAAACCTCCGTTCAGATACGTGAAGACATGCAAAAATGTACAATTCGATTACAATTCGATTACCCCACGGGAAGTTAATAAGAATGCAGCTCTAATCAATATTTTATAAAGTGTTCTTGACTAATTGGGGTTAAAACAACTTCTACCACAACTATCAGTACGTTTGCGTTGAATTTGTAGTGAATAAAATATTTAACGGCCTTCTTTAATTAATGCGAGGTAGTTGCCCTACAATATGTGATTGTTATGGTCATGTTCGTCGTGGCATGACGATTTGTTGCATATAGAGTTTCTGTTAAAGTACGTACACAATAATCAATTTAACGCACGTCGACTCATATCCTGTTCTCATCTTCTCTCATATAATGCATCAACATTCGAAGCCGATAGTTTTAATTTGTTTTTTAAACGAATTTATGGATTTATATTGAAATAGATATTTTCTGTGAAAATTCAAAAAGTATGTATGATGAATCGAGGTTTCTGAGATGATATGTGGGTATTATGACATTTGCAGTAAATTGTAACTAGGCAAGAATATAGAAGGTATCCTAAAACTCAAAGTCTAGCGGAACGGGGTGATCGTATTGACTGTTTGGTTTTTACCTTCGTGTAGGGTAGGTTATATTAATCACAAAACTAGCTGTAAGTGGAATTCAGTCTTAAGGCAATTAAGGCATCGTGCCTTAAGGCAAATTGCTGAAACTTCCCGTACCAAAAATTATTATTGTTTTAAAAACGATTAACATTTTTGAAAAAATTTTACTTCGAAAAAATTGGATTTTTGAGAAACTACAAATTTGAAAAAAAAAAAAATTGAAAACAGAATTTTTTTGAAAAGAAAAATGTTTTCTTCATTTTGACATATTTTGGAAATTCTGAACTTTTTTTCAAAGCAATGGTACTGCTTGAAGTGCATAGAGACGAAATGTCAAAGCGCGCAAGTGCCGCGACGCCGTCTAACGCATAAGCATTGGTACGGGACCCATAGAAATGTAAAAAAATTATACTTATTGTTAAAAATATCTATAAAATATCTGATAATTTGATGTGCATATGTCTAATGATCATTTTTAACCGCCGATTGGCATTTTTTTTTACTTTTTTCATTAGATCTCCGAAACCGCTAGACCTGCCTTCATGAAAATTTGATCAATTCTTTATCTTGTCAATACAAGTGAAATGTTTTTTGAATTATTCAAATCGGACGCTCTGTTCTCCTAAAAACTGAGTTAACGTTTTCGGCACTTTTTGCCCCGTATCTTTGGAACGGCTAGACTTGCCTTCGCCCCAAAACTAAACGAAAATTTGTATCCGCACACACATACATACACGCACACACACACATACACACACACACGATTAAAGCAGTACGATTGCTTTGAGAAAAAGTTCAGAATTTTCAAATTATTTCAAAATATTTTTTTTTTCAAAAAGTCTTTTTTTCTTCAAAAGAAGTAAATTTTTGTCAAAAATTTATAGTTTCTCAAAAATCTAATTTTTTCACAGTAATTTTTTTTTCAAAAATGTTAATCTTAAAAAAAAATGGTACGGGAAGTTCCAGCAATTTGCCTTAAGGCACGATGCCATGCGCCCCACTAGTTACTCAAATTTTTCAAAACCTGATTTCAGAACAACCTGATATCATGCAGTAGTGATTCCATTATACCAGTGGCGTAACTAGGCCATCCGGGGCCCGTGGCAATTTTTTTTGATGGGCCCCCCCCATCAGTAAAATCAAGTGGTTTTAATTTAATTTAAAAAAAACTCGAAATTTTTCAACGTGTTGATTTAAATGTTATATATATATATCCACGATTTGTAATGAATTGTATTGAAAATGAGTAAATCTACTTCGACTTATTCATATTTTGTGGTTTTAAATTAAGATATTTAAAATGTATGTATACAAAAATTTAAAAAAAAAATTAAAATGTATAAGTACAAAAAAACATAAAAATAAAAATAATTATAAGTCAAAATTAATAATTTAAAAGCACAATTACTACTTTGCTTTGAAAATCAAACATAAAATTTTTGTGTTTAAACATTGTAATACATGAACTATAGATAGGATTTTTTTATGACTGAATTCAACAGAGAAAGAACATAGTACTTTGGGGTTAAAAATAATTATTACATAACCTAACATTAACAATCAATTTTTCACGTGTTTTCTCAACAATCTAATCCTTTTTAGTACTTTTTGAAAACTTCAAATTCGTCATATACTCGCTGGCCCTTTTTGGTGAAGAAACCTATTTAAAACTAGCCGGCCCGGCAGACTTCGTCCTGTCAAAAAAAATTTGTAATGTGGCGGTGTTTTGTGCCTACCTTTTTTTATTCTTTGTAAAAATTATCCTCAACAGAACCGTCACCCTGGTAATAATTCGTGGTTGTGAATTAAAAAATAATTAAATAAAACACTATAAGAATTTAAAAGTAAGTATTTTAATAATGTAAATCATAATTCAAAAATTCAGTTCAATTTTCATTGTAGTGCTTTGTGATAAACGATTTTTTTGTTGATACCTGGCGCATAGACAAACAAATCTGATGTGGTTTCCAATACGGGAACAAACAACATACAATTTTCCATGTGAGAAACATGAGTCTTCTAAATTAATACCACAAACACTTAATAATACCATAAAGCACTGGAAACGCATTAGGATGCATGGTGCGAGAACATCCATGGAAACGCATTAGGAACATGGTGCGAGAATAGAAAGATATTTCTATGTTTATATAAATATATCAAAATTAGATTATCAAAAACTACAAAAAATGTCATGACATAGATCATTGTTTTTTTTACAAATTGCGTTGCCTACTCGATTAAAAAGAAAGGGCTGTTTTTTAGGGTTTTCCCGGCAATTATTCGTTTTTTTTCTCGCCATAACAACCATCTTCGGACTTCAACGAACATTTTAGAAAAGAATTGGCCAAATTGGTCTAGGCGTTGTTGAGTTATGCGCTTACCACACATTTTGCGATCCATTTTTATATATAAGAT